GGTTCTCTCCTTGTGTCATTTCCTCTCGTGTCTCCTCAATGCCCCGTAAAAGGTCTCTTTTGGCTCCACAGTGTTACTAGCTCAGCCTTCACTCTGTGGTGGTCAGGGACAGACTGTGGTTTGGGACGGTGAAGGCAGACGACCTTTGAGCAGAGAGTGGAAGACGTTCACCCACTCCTCAATCATCAGGGACACTCTCTTCTTTGTGTGAAGAAAAAGATTTCCTGTGAGGCCTCGTCCAATCGTAGGCTAGTATTTCTGAACATGTGTTTGTTTTGAACTTTCGCACACAGACGGCATTTCAGGTCTGTGTAAACTCTCCTTGGCGTCCAGTATGTCCTGGTCGTCATTCTCCCGGTTCTCTGGTTTGATTGTGTTTAGGAGACGGTAACACAGCAGAGCAGAGTGACCCAGACAAACAGTCTCCTCCTCTCCTTGCATTGGGGTCATCTTATCCTGATAATCCACACCATTAGTCTAGTGACCCGCAGAGACCAGGATCAGGATTACAGCATAGTGAAGTATTAGTGACTGTCATTGAGCTGGCTTTGTGTTGAGGCGTCTGTCTACCTGTGTGACACGAACACAACTTCAACAGAGTGTTTGATCATGTCTATAAACCCCTCTATTTCAGCCCTGCTCAGAACAGGCTGTTTCTGTGTCTGTACCGTTAAATATGTAAATGAGCTGTGTCTGACCACGCCCCCTCTCTGGAAGGACTTGGGTGGTTTAGGCTTTCTCACTCCATGTCCTATTGTTTACGGTGAGAAGACGGACTCAGAGGTTCAGAACAAACACCTAGCTGTGGGAGTGTCACCCACCTGGGGGAGGGGTTACTGCCCTTTGTGATGTCATGAAGGGAAAATCTCCAAACGGCCTATTTGAGCACACATTTTCTGAAAAGTGGAGCAGGCAAAAGACGGAGAGGATGGACTTTTCTCATCATTGGGGGGTTTGTAGACGGACTAGAGACACATATTAGAGTTAGAGGAACATGGTGAAGAGGATTCTGCCGAACATGTGATCTTTTTAAAAATGTTAGCATTTATTCTGAGGTTTTTTTTTTTTGACCAAAGATCGATCAAAGACTTAAAGAAAGGAGCTACGCCCCTGTAAGTTTTCACCATCAATCTGAATGTGTGAACAACAATTCTCCATAGGATATATGGAACCTTTTGGTGCGGTGTTCTCGGTTTGGTTTAGCATACAACGAACTTAATAACTTAATAAGCACTTAAAGGCTTTATATGCGATCACACTTAAATGTAATAGAAATCAAGTATATCCTCTGAAAATAACTCTGTGAGTCATGACTGTCTACAATGGGTGTAACACCCGAGTCCCACTGTCTGTGATGTTTTCAGAGTTTTCAGAGTCCTATCTTCACTTTGTTTACATCGGCGGGACGGCCGGCTGACTCCTCCACTCGTGTATTAAAGTTGTTTAATTGAGGGACTAGAGAAAAGAAGAATAACATACTGTACTCACTGCTTAACTGTGTTTCTAGATCACGCTCATTTCAGGTAAATTTACATGCAGTGTGAAGATACGAGCATAATAAAGATTGCTAGCATTAGCATGCTAACACAACAATGCAGCCAGTTGTTTTGGTTTCATGCTGGTGCTCAAGGGCGACATCTGCTGGATCTAAAAATCGCATATAAAGCCTTTAAAAGTGAAATAAAAAAATTGAAATTTAAGAAAAAGCTATTTTTTCTGAACATCGCTGTTTCTGTAAAAATAGCTGAAAACTCCCCAGACTGGAATACCAAAGAAACGTCTGGGCCGTCAGACCCAAACTGGAAAACTGTGACCAATCTAAGGTACTTAATGAACCGCTGGCTGATTGTTCTGTTGCATCATTGTGTGAACTGCAGAGAACAGACGACGTTCTCATCCACACACTCGTCCCCTCGCTGTCTCAGATTTAAAAACGACCCCTCAGCAGCCCTCTCAAGGCGACATTCCTGTTTTATATCACGACACTTAATGAGAGTGCTGGGTTCATGTTTCAAGCTCTTCAGAGTTTAATGGACTTCTCATGTTTACAGGTCCGCTCTTACGCACTTTGACACAATGAGCTGACGCCGTTGTGGCATAAAAAAATTAACAGCCAGTCGATCGCTGGAGCCTCTGCCAGCATAGCAAACAGTCACCTGTACAATGGCCTCTTTCCGAGCTCCTCCTCAGGGAGTCCCAGTATCGATCTGATCTGGGTCAGACTCAGCTGTCGGTATCACACAGCAGCTCTGTCTGCTGGCTGGCTGCCTTTAAACTGAAGAGAGCTAAACTACCACATACTCCACATTAAAACCAGATTCTGGACACTGAAGAAGAGAGACCCTCATGGAGACCAGACCATGGTGGTGGTTGAGAAACTGAGGACTTCTCTTGACCGGATGAAGATCAACAAGTCCTCATCCGTGGACTGCTTCAAATAACTGTTTCGCTGACCTTTTGATGAGACCTCAATCAGCCAATCACAGCCTTCGGTATACTGTTAAGAGCCTCTTACAGCCAATGACAGCCTGTGTTTAAAGGACGTGCCTCCCCCTGTGTGAAATGCTAACCACTGAAGGGTTTGTACACTTTATTTTCACTGCATCATTACTTTCCATTCTGCATGAATTCATTGATACACAAAGGAAACTACAACCTGCTGTCTTCTTAATCTCTAAGAAAGTCAACCAAAGATATTTCAGTTTGATGTGCTTGTCCATGACTCATCCGCCATTTTTAATCTCAGGTGTTTGTTGTTGGTTTGTGGTGTGCACTGGCAATAACCAGGGATGAAGCTGTGCTTATCTCTCTCACATGACCAGGTCATTAACGAGGCTGATCATCATAAAGATCTACTGTCAAACATATAAATGAACGAGTCAGCAGCTTGTTCCTTCAAAATAAAAGACAGACTTCTCCTAAAGTGAAGCCAGAGTCAGCAGCTTGTTCCTTCAAAATAAAAGACAGACTTCTCCTAAAGTGAAGCCAGAGTCAGCAGCTTGTTCCTTCAAAATAAAAGACAGACTTCTCCTAAAGTGAAGCTGCTCCATCGTCTCTTCTGGGCCTCCATACATGTGTGGTGGTGACTGTGTCTGCAGAGACTCTGTCCTCTGACTGGATTTTACTGTTCTGCTTTGTTTTGGTTGACTCGGCACGTTTCTGGGCGGAGCTGGTGTCTTTCCTCCAGCCAATGACAGCGCAGCAGGTGAGTTTAAGAGTGGATAAAAAATATAATCATTGTGAGGAGAAACGCCAAGTGGATAAAGCTCGTTCTAAAACGAGGGTGAACCTTTTGTTGTCTTTTACTCGTGGACGTGGAGTTGGTCTACTTCCTGTTGGACAGGCAGGTGATAAACACCGGCGGTTAGCTTGTGCTAGCGTGCATTAGCTTGCAGTGTAGCTACAAGCAGTAAACGTACACACTATGTCCTGCAGTGAGCCCGGGAGGAGGAGGGGCTTAATTTGAATGTTTACAAACATTTATACTGCCTCCATCTTTAAAAACATAAAAACAGTCTTTCAGAGCTGCTGTAGACGAAGCTTCTATCCTGCCCAAGGCCAACACACCAAATGAGGATTCTTTTAACTCATTACTGATGGTTTCTTTATCAAAACTCTCAGACTGACTCTGCTGTTGGACATTTCTCTAGTTTACATAAATTTAATCGCCGCGTCAGCTGAGTATGATTTTGTTGATGTAGATTACAGAGAGAGAATTGATGAGCCCTGTGTTTGTTGGGTCTGAACCTCTCTTTTCTCTCTCTCTCTCTCGCCCTCATGAGCCTTTCCTCCATTATCACACTCAGTGTTACACATCCATAATTATGCATGTATTTCCAGTCTCCCTGGTAAAAACAGTCCTCTGATTGCTCGTCTCCGCTGCCTACATCCTGTTATTAGACTCAAATTATACTTACATCAGGGCAGATGTAAGACTGCTGCGCTCTGAGGCCTGTTAGATTGTCATGTGTAATACTTGCTCTTTTCAGCTTTATATGTTGTTGTGTCTACATTAGAGTGAGTGTAGTCGGGGGGGGGGGTCGCACAGACTGTCGACTTTGCCTGATGACGACTTATCGTTTATCAGGAAACAAAATCTCAAACTTTGACTGAGCAGGTGTACGACAGTGAGTCGGCAGAAACGCTGTTTAAAGGATCAATCAGTAAGATCTGTATTAAATGAAATGATAAAGGTCACATATCCTCCTCCTCTTCAGTTTAAATAAATCTCAGATCTCCTCAAAACATGTGTGTGAAGTTTCTTGTTCTAAATCCACTCTGATCCTGTATTTGATCATGTCTATAAACCCCTCTATTTCAGCCCTGCTCAGAGCAGGCTGTTTCTGTGTCTGTACCTTTAAATATGTAAATCAGCTGTGTCTGACCACGCCCCCTCTCTGGAAGGACTCGGGTGTCTCAGTCTTTCTTGCTCCATGTCCTATTGTTTACAGTGAGAAGGCAGACTCAGAAGGCAGAACAAACACCTAGCTGTGGGAGTGTCACCCACCTGGGGGAGGGACTACTGCCCTTTGTGATGTCATGAAGGGAAAATCTCCAAATGGCCTGTTTGAGCACACATTTTTTGAAAAGTGGAGCAGGCAGAAGACGGAGAGGATGGACTTTTCTCATCATTGGGGGGTTTGTAGACAGACTAGAGACACATGTTAGAGTTAGAGAAATATGGAGAAGAGGATTTTAGAGAATATGTCACCTTTTAAAGAAACAGCCATCACTAGAGTCCTGCCACTAGCGTGGCTGAAAATCATGATATGCAGACACAAAGGGACTTGGCGCCCTTGTAGATGACATTATGTTTGTCCTGCGGTTCCTCTAGCTGACACCCCCCTCCCTGTTTGACACTGTTATTACATAATGGTAGACTGCTGGGTCCACCCTTTGGGACTCGTTTTTGTCAGACGGCGCTCTAATGATGCTGAGTAACGGAGCCTCTCTGTCTCGCAGTGACTAACAGTTGTCTCTGTGTCTTTTCTCTCGTTCAGATGCTGCTGCAAAGAAAGCCTTCATCACAGAGGTGAGCTGCCGTCTGTCCCTGTGATCGCCTGCTCGTCTGTTAGGAGTCTCTTCTTGATCGCCCACATCAATAATAAACAGCTCGTTCTTTAAATTCAGTCAGACACTAACCAAAGCCCCACAGAAGTCGGATCTGAGGGTGTAACCATGCAGTGTTCAAAAATGAGTTGAAGGTGTATCATAGCCTTTAGAGGTCATGTAAGAATTATTTGTTTGGGCCAGACTTCTTTGTTCACATGATCTTAATCCTCCTAATTTGGTGAATCCCATCCATCTGGCACCGGATGTTTGTCAATGTTTAAAGACATTTAAATTAACTTAAATGAGAAATTCAACCATGACGCTTGATGAGCCTCAACAGAGGAACAAGTCACACTCATCAGAGAGATCCTCAGAACAGATGAAGCAGCTTTAAAATAAATAATGTGGTCAGCTCTTAAAGCCTCGTTTACTCTGCTCTGCCCGTAATGTAATCAATCTTTCTCCTCAGATGCCCTCGTCCTCAGGCCAACCCGGCCAGGGGAAGAAGATCGGCCACAGAGGGGTGGATGCATCAGGAGAAACGACCTACAAGAAGGTACTCCAAACCGCACACACCCAGGAGTCTTCTGGTTCGCTCTTCTTTTTTTTTTTTTACGAAGTAGAAAGATTTAATTATTAAAAATGACGAGATAATTAAATACAAACAAAATAATGAGACAAAAACGTCTAAAAATCTAATTTACGAGTGAAAAAAAAAAAAAAAAAAAAAAAAAATGAAACAAGATTTTTGAGATAAAAGTCATAATAATGACATTAAAGATGAAATTAAAACATAATTAGAAGATATAAAGACAAAATAAGATGATTAAATACAGACATGATAATTAGGTTAAACATTTCAATTATGAAATAAAAATGTATTAAAATCAAATTTTAGTTTCAAGATAATAAAATGAGAAAACATTTAGTTATTTTTTATTGATTGAGTTTTTCAATTTTGAGAGGAAACAAACAATAAGAAAAATACTGAAAATAAACTAAACAAAAAACCCTCCCCAAACTCTCTTCTTCTTTTTTTAAGTTTTTATTTTTGCCTTTATTGGAAAGGACAGCTGAAGAGAGACAGGAAACGTTGGGAGGAGAGAGAGGGGGGGTAATGTGCAGCAAAGGGCAGAGGTTGGATTTGATTGGTGCAACAAGGACTGTAGCCTCTGTACATAGGGGACACACAAGAAAACCGCTGGTCTATCCAGTGCCCCCCCATGAGCAGAGGCTACAGACCTTGCAGACGTTAAGGCTGTTGCTTCCAATAGAATGAATCACCGCGGTGTAAACAAGCACTGAGCATGAAAGCAAAGTGAAGTCAACTCACCCCACGATGAGTTCAGACTTACACAAAGGCAGCTTCACTGGTACCTAAACCAAAAGTAGCTCCGCCCCCTTTAGAATCATTTCAGCTTTCAGTTAAATGAAAAAGGAGAACCAGCTGATTTACACCCTGTGTTACGCCCATGTTATATTTTGACCACAGCACAGATGTTTCTAATTCCAATTACAGAAATACACTTCAACTTTTTATGAGACATTATTCTCCATTAGAAGTTCCCATGTTACGAGTGTCAAAACAACAGTTTATTTATCCGCATTCTTCTCCACCCTCTTCCGGTTTCCCCCTTTTGGAATGACGATTACAGACTACCACTGTACCTGGTGGTTGGCCGTCGGCTGAAGTCTTTGTGGTGTGTTCAAGTTGACCACAGGCGGCCTTCGTCACCACTAGTTCTTAGCCGTCTGCTTGGCGTGTCAGGGCCTTTACACCAAGTGATTTCAGAGTCACAGATACATTTCTAAAGTCAGAACGACATCGGAGAGTCTTGCTGGAGTTGGGGCGCGCTCCCATGATCTCAGTCGTTTTGGTGCAAGGCGGTCTTAAAACAGGCAGTCTTTTTCTTGCTTGTTGTTATGTCAGATGAAGCGCTTTGTAAAAATCTGATCCCTGCGGCGCGAGGAAACATCTAATATGAACCCTCAGCTCGCAAATAGTATCCAGCCTTCAAGATTAAATTCATTGGGACGGCTGAACAGCGTGTGAGCCGCGCTGCAGACACCGCAGAGCGACAGGTCACCATCAAATCATGATGATCACAAAGCAATTAGATCCAACCCTTGACATTTGCCAGAGCCCCCCCCCCCCTTTCTGTATTATCTAATTAAGACACAAAAAGATCTTTTAAAAATAGATGCATTCCAGACAGAAGTGTGTACATGTTTTAAAGGGGACATATTCAGAAAAATCCTCTTCTTCAGTGTTTCTGAACATGTATTTGGGTAACCTGAGTGTCTACTGACTCACAAAATCTGAAATAAATCCATCCAGTCCTTTGTTTGTGGTCTACATAAGTCTTGCAACACAGAGAAAAATGCTCTGTTTCAAATGTGCTCTCCTTGTGATGTCACAGTGGGACTCTGGTTAAAAAAAATCCCCTCCCCTCCCCTGGTATCTCCACCCATGGACTCCACCCCCAGCCTAGAGCAAAGCTTTTACACAGGTCCGCTTTTTTTATTCTTGCTACAGAGGAGTGTTGTCTACGGGGTAAACTCGGTGGGGGGTCCATTGCATTTAAAGAGACACACACACCAAAACGGAGCGTTCTGAGAGAGCTGGTTTATACAGGGTCACAAACCTCCTCTGGTGCTTGATTCATGTTATATTTTGACCACAGCACAGATGTTTCATTTAGACCACAGGGGACTGTTTGAAAAGGTGGAGAAGGGGGAGAATATGTCCTCTTTAAAAAAATGAAGTGATAGAACCGCAATGATTTTAGACTCCTGCTGAGGTTAAAGAAGAGTCAAACAGTCCTCTCACTGAGTCCCCCCACCCTCTCTCCACAGACCACCTCCTCAGCCTTGAAAGGTGCCATCCAGCTGGGCATCGGCTACACGGTGGGCAACTTGAGCTCCAAGCCGGAGAGAGATGTGTTGATGCAGGACTTCTACGTGGTGGAGAGCATCTTCTTCCCCAGGTCGGTACTGAAGCCATGAAAACATTCTGGAGAGCAAATTATGATAATAATAATAATTTAACTTAACGCAGCTGAGGGGGATGTTTACACTGACTGATTGTTTTCCACTCGCATCGTCAGCTCGGCAGCTTTATGGTTTTGAACTCTGTGTTTCTGCTACACACAGAGGGGTTTTCTATCCCCCCTGAGAGGATCAGTGTATGTTCCCACCCCTCGAAGATCTGCGTGTACATTCTATTGAAATAGAGTAACCTCTGTTTGCTCACTCGGCTAACGCGGACCGCCATCTTTGTTTTGGTCTGTGGACCAATCAGAGACTGTATAGGCAATCAGCTGACATGTAAGAACCAATGAGAAGCCGGTGCAGCCTGAGAGAGACTTCAGAGCCTTCTCTGAGCATAGAAATACAAAAGATAGATCTGATCTGAAAGGATTCATCCTATTCAGTATATTCTAGTATTTAGCTGTCTAGCTCTTTTTACAGAACAGCTCTAAGTAATGATTCCTTTGAATAGAATAAATACTTTTTACAAACCTTTCAGAGGGTCACATCACACTCCACGACCTCCTAGACATCCTCGGGGTGTCGATATCCAGAGTCAACAGGTCGTCCTGGAAACAGATGACTCACTTGGTCATGACTCGACTGAGATTAAACACGGCTGTTTACAGAAGGAGACCTCAGGGGGTTAAAACTTTAACGTGTGATGTTCAGCTGAGAAACGTGTTTCTTTATGACCATCTCCTCATCTTTGTTGTTCTTGGTGTTTTTCTGTGTTTTTCAGTGAAGGCAGTAATCTCACTCCGGCGCACCACTTCCCGGACTTCCGCTTTAAGACGTACGCTCCCGTGGCCTTCCGCTACTTCAGAGAACTGTTTGGCATCCGGCCCGATGACTACCTGGTAAGATCATCACCCCTCCTTACAGCCAATCAGATCCTGTGTTGAAAGGAGGTCCCTCCCCCTGTCCCTGCTGCTTCTATCAGACTTCAGGGTGATCTCTTCATGTTCACACTGAGGAGAGTATTAATCAGCTGATATTTATACCAAGAGAGGTATAAGGCTTGGCTCTGACCAACGGATCGTCAGTACTCTGCTACATGAGGTCAGACCTAATCAAGATACAGTTTAAAGTGGAAACTAGGGATGTGAGCAGAGAGGCGACAAACAAATAGAGATATTTAAAACAACGAGAGAGAGAGAGAGAGGCTGCAGCTTGTCTCTCCACATCAGCGTGGAGCACCATGAGTCTGCATGATTCAGTGCTGCTCCCTGAGCCGTCCAGCAGAAGAAACATGCAGAGTGTAGTCCGTGTTTCTCCGCCCACAGGAGAACGTCACAGGGCACCGTGATGATGTCAGAAATTAGAGAGAGAGAGAGGGGGCAATGACACTACAGCCTCTGTACATGATGTTTGTGTTAATCTCTTAATGGTCATTGTATCACAACAACAGAGCGCCGCTGCTCGCTCAGCTACCTCTCATGTTTTTGAAGATAATAAAAGCGTGTCCTTTAAAGGCCTCGTTGTGCGTGTGCCAACACTCAGTCAGCCACACCTCTTCAACCTTTAACACCAGTTTTACCGTCAACTTGAATGTCATGAAGTGAGCCGTGAGCAGGAGGTCGTGGTTATAGCTTCCTGGTCCGAGTCTGATCGGAGCAGAAAATTAGCTTCTTAGTATTTCTTCCTCGCTCTCTAACTACATACACGCCATCGTTAACTTTCAAAATCCTGAGTCTATATCGCCGAGGTCAATCCACAATATCAGAAGATTTGTGCAAGTGTTGTTTTTAAATTTTTGTGCGTGTGTGTCTACAGTATTCTCTGTGCAACGAGCCATTGATCGAGCTGTCCAATCCTGGAGCGAGCGGCTCGGTCTTCTATCTCACCAAGGACGACGAGTTCATCATCAAGACTGTGATGCACAAGGAGGCGGAGTTCTTACAGAAGCTGCTGCCTGGATACTACATGGTACGTGTGTTGACATGTGTTTCTGTCCCGTTATTCAGCTGCGTGCACACACTGGTAAGACGCCACGGCAGAGTGTCAAACGCCATCCTCCCTGATGTTCTTATTAAAGTCATATTTTTAGAGCTTTATGTAACTCCCTGGATTCCTCTCCTCTGAGTGTGACGACCTTTAGATTAAAAAAAATATATAAAACAGGCCGCTCTATGATCTGTGACTCAGACCTCAGGCCGTGTGGTTTCATAAGAGACGGGCCCCGTGTTGTCCTCCCTCTCCAGCAGCTCCATGTATGTCCATGCTTTTTCTTCTCCCGCCTGTGAGGGTTCACGGCCTGCAGCCTTGTGTTTATTCACGCGCCGACAGCCGTGGCCAAAGACCACTGCAGGAATTCATTTACACACTCAGGTAAAGGCTCAGAACTTTCACTGAGACCTTGAGGAGGCGGGTAAAGGAAGGAAGAGGCTGCAGTCTGAGCTCAGAGGCTGATGAAGATGAATGTAATTAAGTAGAATCAAAGAAAAGAATCATATAAGAGCCAAGACAGCAACATAAAAAACAGCAGGCAGCTTGGGTGAGCTCTCTGTGTCTTCCACAGCTGACTGGCTGGTGCTTGTGGGCCGGCTGCAGAGTCTGGCTCTGGGCAGCATACAGATCACCGTGATGTAACAGACTCCTCTTCTCCCCGCTCTGTGTGTCAGCGCTGACGTCTTCCCCCTCCTCCGCCACATTTCAACGTCTTATCACTCTCACTGCTGCTATGACACTCTCACTCTAATTTATTTCCTTTCCTCATCTCTCTCTCCCCTCGCTCACGTGTCTGTGTTGTCGGCTTGTCACCGCTCTGCCCTCTTAACATTGACAGAAGGGTTGTGTGTTGCTGAGGGCTGCTCTCTCTCTCTCTCTCTCTCTCTCTCTCTCTCTCTCTCTCTCTCTCTCTCTCTCTCTCTCTCTCTCTCTCTCCTGTATATGCACACTCTTGTGTCTGCCCGCTCCACACGTTTCTGAAGGTCATTCAGAGAGCGTTCAGACAGAATCCCTCCTCCGTCTCTCTGTCTGTTCCCTTTTCTCTCCTCTTCTTTTTTCAAATCATTTCTTCTCCTGGCATGATGTGTGTTATCTCTATTAAGGATCACAGCTCTCTCTCTCTCTCTCTCTCTCTTCATCTTCTCTCTTCTCTCTTTTCTGTGTCCCCTATCTCTCGCTCTCTCCCTCTCTCTTCATCTTCTCTCTCTCTCCCTCCCTCTCTCTCGCTCTCTCTCTCTCTCCCTCTCCCTCTCTCTCTCTCTCTCATTTCTCTAATGGTTCTGAGCTGGCCCGGCTCCCAAGGTCAACGCAGGTTTTTCCTCTGAGCATTCCCCCCCGGTCTAACCTCATTTGTCAGGATCGACTGCTTAGATTTCAGCAGAGATTGGCGTATGAGAGCTGAGCGCTGACCACCAATCAGAGAGCTCCCTCTCATAGCAACGGTTGCTAGGCTACTTCCGGTTACAAAAACTTCCTCCTGGTCTTTTCAGTGTGAAAATATGACCTTCATTTCTTACTGTAAATTTTCAGAAATAATAGAAAAATAAACGCATCGGAGTTTGCACGCCGTCTGTGCAAAGTTAAGGTTAGCACTTTGGATAGCGACATGACAAACTCTTTTAACGAGCCCGAGAGATGTTAACGTCAGAGAGTCTGACAGAGCAAGCTCAGACAAACAACGAGGGGAGATTGAACCCCGGTGTTTTTCTGCTCTCTCTGTTTTTACAAGTTACTAAAAAGCCTCTCCACTCGAACCTCACCTGTTGTGATAACGGAAACGAGAATGAGACAGCGTTATGAAATGGTGGGAGGCGAGCAAATCAGCGAGGTCCAGACCTCGGTTGTTAATTTATTTTGAACAGAACATGAATTTATTATCTCATTAGTATCTATGCATGCTGCTTGAACTGATGTCAGTCAGCTACTCTCTCTCTCCTCTTGTTCAGTGTGCAGCGGGCAGGTGAGAGTGAGTAACCATGGCGACTGTCTGTCTGTAAATCAACGAAGTCCCGCCCCCTCTATGAATAAAACTTTTGGGGGAGGCGTGCAACTGAAGGAAACATCCATGCAGTTTAAGAGATGTGAGAAGTACCCCTAGCAACAGTAACCAAGGAGGACGGGGCTTGACAAAAGGTTGATTGTTGTATTTGAACGAGCATGCATCACCTCTTCATTAAACCCTGCAGAGTCCCGTAAAGTGAACAGGAGGGGTTAAAGGTCAAAGCGGGGCGGGTTAACTTGCTCTTCGTCTTAACTTGCTCTTCAGAATCTTATAAATTAGCACTTAAGAATTGAACCCTGTGAAATCTTAGTGACCCTAGCCAACTTTTCCAGAGAACATATGTCAGGTAAACCGATAAAAACAAAGTCGGCTCAAAACCTGACGACAGGAACCACTTTGAAGAAGAACAGTGAACTGCTGATGGAGGGGGATTCTCCTAGTTTGTGATAATTAGATGAAGTTCATGGGGTCTTATCTCTCCTCTCTCTCTGTCTCTTGTTGTTTTCAGAACTTGAATCAGAACCCCCGCACTTTGCTGCCCAAGTTTTTCGGCCTGTACTGCGTTCAGTCGGGCGGGAAGAACATCCGCGTGGTGGTGATGAATAACGTCCTCCCTCGTGTGGTTCGCATGCACCTCAAATATGACCTGAAGGGCTCTACCTACAAGAGGCAAGCGTCCAGGAAGGAGAGGCAGAAGGCCCGGCCAACCTTCAAAGACCTGGACTTCATGCAAGACCTGCAGGACGGCCTGATGCTGGACCAGGACACGTACAACGCTCTGGTGAAGACCCTGCAGAGAGACTGCCTGGTGAGTGAGAAACACTAAACTAACTCTGCTCCATGTGGAAAAGATGAGCAAGAACCAGCTCAGGGAGGGGGGGGGGGGCTGAAGTGGTTCAGTGATTCTGAAGGAGGATCCACATTCCTCCCTGATCCAGAGTCTCCACAGAGAGAGAGAGGAACGGATTAGAGACGATGAAGAAATGCCTCTCAGGGGAATATGTGCAGAAAGAGACCAAGAGGAGAAAGTCCACATAAGGAGATGGAAAATACAGGATGCTTAAGGTGTCCTGATTAATAATAGAGGAGCAGGGATGGAGGGAGGTGGAGGAGAAGTGGGCAGAGTGTTTGTCCTTCCCTCCTGAATGAAGGTTTGTTAGGAGCAGGAGGTTTAACGAGGTGTCTGGAGGGGGAGAGGGTGTGTCTGTGGTGTTGTAAACCTCCACCTCACGTTGATGGTGCTGTTTGTTAATAATGTGATTGTTTGAGAGGGTCCGTGCACACTCTAGATGTTGCTTATGCATTTGATATAAATGTGTGGATGCTCGTGGATCACTGTGTGGCGTCCCCTGTCCTCCAGATAGAACTTTCAGTTACAGTCAGCGTCACGTTTCTTTTTCTGGTGCTACCAAAGCGTCCTCGGGTCCCTTCGACAGGCGCCATCATCATTATTATTGTCCTTACATCAGTGTGTGTGTGTATGTGTGTTTTGTTCAGGTGCTGGAAAGCTTTAAGATCATGGACTACAGTCTGCTGCTCGGGGTTCACAACATCGACCAGGCGGAGAGGGAGAGGCAGATGGAGGGCTCTCAGGGCAGCAGCGATGAGAAGAGGCCCATGGCCCAGCAGAAGGCCCTGTACTCCACCGCCATGGAGTCCATCCAGGGAGGCGCAGCCTGCGGGGGATCCATTGACACCGACGACACGTGAGTTCAGCCGCTGGATGAGAAATGTGACAGGAAAGAGAAGCACGGCTCACACTGCTTTACTGCATCATAAATTCATGACTTGAAAGGTTTGACTATACATGACTTTGATCTTGACAAACCTTTGATGGATGTTTGGCCTCTGGTTGTAGGATGGGTGGGATTCCAGCTGTGAACGGGAAAGGAGAGCGACTTCTCCTCTACATCGGAATCATCGACATCCTGCAGTCCTACAGGTGATGCTCACACCAGAAACATGATGACACCTCTCAGTCTCACAGGCTGCTGACCGAGCTCAAATACACTTATATACCTACTTCCCCCAGATATCCCATGTAAACCCTGAGTATGAACACACACACAGAAACTTCCATATCTGCTGGGAGAAAAACCAAACTGTGAAATGATAGCAGCAAAATTCATCACAGCCTGTCAGAGCATGAGAACCAGTGGAACCAGAACACACACACACACACACACACACACACACACACACACACACAAAGGCACACATTTTATTTTTTTTTTTTTTTTTTTTTTTTATTATTATTATTATTATTATTATTATTTTTTTTTATTAGTTTATTTTATTTTATTCATTGTTAAAATATTTAATTGCTAATTATTACTTTTCATTATTACTATTGTATCATTTGTTATTAAATGCTTTGGCAATATATTTTACACATTCATGCCAATAAAGCTAATTGAATTGAATTGTATTATAGCTCTGTGTACATTCTAACAACCTAGTGTAATATCGTCACGCGATCTGAGCGCGATTAAAAACTCACATCTCTGTATCACCATATCTTCTCTCTGTTTCCTCAGGCTCATCAAGAAACTGGAGCACACGTGGAAGGCGTTGGTTCATGATGGGGTGAGAGCTTTAAATAGGTCTTTTACCTTTAAGAGACACAGCCAATCAGGTGCTGCCACCTGGATACACACAGGATTTTATACAAAACTGTTTTATAAATCACGTGAAGATACAACAGACTGCAGAAGCACAGGAAGTCACATACACACCCATTCTAAAGGGTTCATCAGTGAGTCCCGCAGTGAAACCACATCTACTCCCCCTGAGGGCCGAGGTTGAGTCCAGTTGCTCTGCGGAGGACTAGCTGCTAGTGGGCCACTCCCCTCCCCCGGAGTAGTCTTGGTGTTAATACATCGACCTGCGGACCTTTGCCTTCCAGCCTCGTTGTTGGACGTCAGCTGCAGGTCGTACGCCTCCTCACAGGGCGCCGTAAGCTCGATGTAGACGGGCTGGATTGAGGCAGACCACAGTACGAGGAGGTCTGAGGTCGGTTACTGCAGTCTCAGGTGGGAAGCAAAGCCCCTCCCCTGAGTCTGCACCATCAGATGTCCAGACTAGAAAACACAAAAGTACAACTTGTTGTTCAGCCACAAAGTAGCCAAACAATCAACATCCAATACAAATTATGATTAATGCAGTTTTAAAAAAACACATTAGGAATATAACGGCCCACTGGCAGCAGAGAGAGTCCTGCATCTTGGCAAACGGAAGAAACTTGACCGCTAATTTTCATGACCTGATGGGCAGCTCACACCAACACACACAACTTTTTTAGAATTTGTGCTTCTTTGTCCAATTATCAGCGGGAGCCTATAATCTGCCTGCATCTATTTCTGTCCAGGAGGTTTTCAAGAGTTTTTTGTAGGTGTGAAAGCACTATTAGTCGTACATTTTTACAACTTAAGATGCTGATTTTTCATATAAGAATTCCCTAAATTCTTCACCAATGTGACTCATGTATTGACAGCTCACATTCAGGGATGATTCATGTCGACTCTCCTCCTCATAATCAGATTGTTCATCAGACATCATCAGTCCTGTAAATCTCTCCTCTCACTCTGAAACACACTCATACACAAGATGTATGTGGGAGGGCGAGCCGACCCCCCCCCCGTGCGTCACCGTCTCTGCTGCTGATGGAGACTCCTCACTTTGTCTCAGTGTTACACTCAGTACTCTCAGCTCGCTGGATCACTGCAAACATGTTACTCATAATGAAGTGAGTAAGCTAAAAATAACTACGCTGCTGCCGTGCTCCATCTCTTCCTCCGTGTTCTGGTCAAAATGAACACCGAGTGTCGCCTGTCAGTCTGCTGCAACATTCATGAAGGAGAGTCTGCCTGCGTCTATTTCTGTCCTTTTGTTTGAATGTGTTGCTCTGCATCGAGGTGTGACCCGGAGGAAACTAAAGTGGGACACTAAACAGATAATCGTGTGTGTGTGTGTGTGTGTGTGTGTGTGTGTGTGTGTGTGTGTGTGTGTGTGTGTGTGTGTGTGTGTGTGTGTGTGTGTGTGTGTGTGTGTGTGTGTGTGTGTGTGTGTGTGTGTGTGTGTGTGTGTGTGTGTGTGTGTGTGTGTGGTGTGTGTGTGTGTGTGTGTGTGTTGTGTGTGTGTGTGTGTGTGTGTGTGTGTGTGTGTGTGTGTGTGTGTGTGTGTGTGTGTGTGTGTGTGTGTGTGTGTGTGTGTGTGTGTTGCACTGTTTGTCTCATTAATCTCTCCGTCTCTCCCTCAGGACACCGTGTCAGTCCACCGACCCGGCTTCTATGCTGACAGGTTCTTCAAGTTCATGAGCAACACGGTGTTCAGGAAGAGCTCCTGTGAGTTCACCTTACAGCCTTACATAGTCAGACAGAGGGGTGTGTGTGTGTTGCAGCAGACAGACAGCCTTATTAGGAGCTGCTGTGTGTCATGTTAGAGTTTCATACCTGAGCAGATGTATTTTTGAAGATGTTCAGAGGAGAATTAATAATTCATGGTAACCGAGCCTCGTTTAAGATTGTCTTGTGATATTATATCCTCTGATTCAGAGAAACACAGTGCCACTCATCAGCAAGACTCAGGCCCCGTGTCCACCTGCTATTTTAATCTGAGCGCCCGCGTCTTTTTCCAATGTTTACAGCGAGTAGAGAGCGTTTGCAGCAGCAGCAGCAGCAGCAGCAGCAGCAGGCGGAGCGCAGAGCTCAGCGTCTTTTGTTCAGATGTCCCGAGCGCGTCAAGCTGAACATCTTTCAGCTTTTTAGAAAAGTGCTGCTGACGTCACCGACGCACTTTTCAAGATATCAGTTATTCCTCATAATTTTTTGGTTCTTTCAGAGCAAACAGTTCTGGGGACGTTTTGGAAATTAAGTATCCACAAAGGGAGTTCCCTGAGAACTTCACATGGTACCTCCTCTGGAGCTGAAGAGGTTCCTCTTAACGGGGAAACGAGGCTCCTACCAATTAAAAAGGAGGAGGGCTCCAACAGTTCCTAGAACTATGACTATTTGTTAACCATCTCATAATTCACTGGAAGTTTATTGTGAAATAGCAGAAATACCCGATTCCTGCGGTCCCAAAACGCCTTCTGTCTGCTACATATCGTCCTCATATCGTCCTCGCTATCGTAGGAGATCAAGCAATATGATGCTCAAAGTGAAGGAAAAATCATCTCAAATATAAAACATACAGGAGCAGGGTCGGTCATACAGCGGCCATTTTTAAGAGACTGTTGTCATGGAGACAGGATGCATGGGCAGCGCTTTTATTCTCTGCGCACAAACGCTTCATCTAAAGTTCCCCGGGCGCACAGCCAGCGCCAGGTGGACACGGGGCCCAAATGAATCTGCTGATGACTTGATGGATGTAGACCCTCCTACAGTGTGTGTGTGTATGTGTATGTGAGGCATTACTCTGTGAGACTTACTTTGTCCGCGTTTCCTAAACTTCTTATTTCCTCAGCTCTGAAGTCTTCTCCGTCCAAGAAGGGTCGCGTGTCGTTGACGGTGCCGAAGTTAACCGGTCCTGGTGCGGCGTGGTCGGCCAGCCAGCTCCCCTCCGACAGAGATGATGTCATCTATGACCTGAGAGGAGCTTGCAGCTTCCCCACGCTGGAGGATGAGGGTAAGAAAGCCCTGCACACAGGAGCGGTGTGTACTGCTCCATTGTGATTGGGTAGGGATGAAGAGTGGGGTGGAGCATGCATCTCATCATTTAAGTGAAGTTTGTTGTGAAATACCCGATTCCTGCAAGAGAGTCAGCCATAAAAAGGATCAAAGATGGCGGCGTAGTCTTAGCGCAGACCCGGGTCCGAGTCTGACCTGTGGCTCCCTTCCCGCTTGTCATCCTCCACCCTCTCTCTCTAATCCCGACTTCATGCTCTATCCACTCGCCAAATAAAAGTATAAAAAGCTTAATGACACTGATTGTTTCAAACCTCAGTAAACATCAGGCTTTTAGCTGTTGCCATTGGAAACAAAAAGCTTCACAATCAGAACAGATCAGAACACACTCTACAAAGAAAAAAGTGCTAAAATCTCTCTCTCTCTCTCCTCCAGGGCGACCAGATCTCCTTCCATGCACTCCCCCATCGTTTGAAGAAGCCACCACGGCCTCGATTGCCACCACTCTTTCCTCCACCACCTCTCTGTCCATACCGGAGAGATCCCCCTCTGACACAGCTGAGCACCCCCGCTACAGGTACACACACACACACACACACACACACACACACACACACACACACACACACACACACACACACACACACGTGTGACTAAAAACCTTGACCTGATAACTGCTCTCATATCTGGCAAACTGAGGGGCGTCCAAAACGGCCGTGTGGGGGGTGTCTTTAAAGCGCCTACCTTCTCTGGTCCAAACAAATCCAGAGCATTCAGGAGCAGAATCTAAAGTTAGAAGGAGGACATACTGACTGCTGTGATGAATGTTTTTAGGATGTATGAACACAGCTTGTTCTGACTCTGTGTCCTCTCTCTCCAGGAGGCACACCCAGTCTCTGAGCCACGACGGGAGGTGAGTCAGAAGCATGAACACTACTTTTACTTCATAAACCTTTATATGAAGGAAAAACTGAGTTTTTTTTGTGGCTACCAGCTTTTTGTTTTCTCAGCACGAGACGTGTCTGGGTGTGGTGGGCGTGTGTTTATGAGTCGGGCTGTGTTTAGTTGCATTTCCTCTGCGCGTGTTGGTTCATGAGCCTCCTCTGTTCAGGACTCAGGAGGAGCTGCGTGTGCGGGAGGAGGACCAGCAGACCATCACAGTGGAGGTGGAGTTAAAGAGACCCGACAGCGAGCCCACCTTCTCTGTGCCACAGTCTCCACCTGACACCAGGTAAACAACAACAACAACACAGCAGCTAACTTCTTTATTTATTTATCTACTAAAATATAAAATGAGACGTGAGGTGTCTTCAGACCGAACTGTTCTGGAGACTTTTTGAGGAGGAATTATCCACATGGGGAGTTCACTGAGAACTACCAAGGGGACTTTTTTTTACCTGTCTTGCTTTTGCATCGCCATGGTAACGGCTGATATGACCCTTCACTTCCCAGCACCCATCTCCTTCAAAGCAGGAGCTGAAAAGGTTTCTCTAAACGGGGTTCTAGGGACTAGAATAGTCCATACTTCCTGCAGTGTGGAATCAGTGAAGAGTGGGGAGGGTTCCAACAGGTCCTAGTAGTGTTGTAGTCCAGGCCACACTACCCGAGGCCAGAGTGGTCTGAGGGGGGGTATCTGTGTTATAAACAAGGTTACAAAGAGGTTTACAGCATCGAGCCACATCCTTTCTAACTGCAGTAAAGTTGTGAACGCTCCTGTCAGAACACTTAACCAAACTGTGGATTAAAGTCCTTTACTTGATCCTCTTTACATCGGAGTCCTGACGATTTGAGCTTCAACCCGCCATTACAATGTTTAACATTTGTCCATATTCACCGAGCGGACCGTGAAACAAACCCATGACTTGTGTGTCATGGTCTCCCCTCCATGTGACCCCGTTACAGGATGGATAAGCTGCGGTGCTGTAATAAGTCCTTCATGACCCCAATCATCAATATGACTCCGTTTGCCTGCTCACTATAAATACCACGGCGCCAGCCAGGGTCTCACCTGGGCTCAGCCAGCTGGTACATGACCCCGTCTCACCGCTACACATTGTTAATAACACGGCACGCTGAGAAACGCTGGAAGCTTGACCCACTTGTTTAGTAAATGGTAAATGGACTTGAGCTTGTATCGTTCTTTTCTAGTCTTCTGACTACTCAAAGCTCTTTTACACCACAGGTCACACCTACACATTCACACACTGATGGTAGAGACTGCTGAGTAAAGAGTCCATCAGTATTAACTCATCCATTCATCCACATTCACACACTGATGGTAGAGGCTGCTGTGTAAAGAGACCATCAGTATTAACTCATCCGTTCATACACATTCACACACTGATGGTAGAGGCTGCTGTGTAAAGAGACCATCAGTATTAACTCATCCGTTCATACACATTCACACACTGATGGTAGAGGCTGCTGTGTAAAGAGACCATCAGTATTAACTCATCCATTCATACACATTCACACACTGATGGTTGTTGGGCCACGCAGGCTTAGGACAGTCAAACAATGGACTTGGGCCTGCACCTCTGTAAAAGCCTCATTTGAGTTATTCACTGAGATCACAAAGAGGCCTAAAAGGACTCTTAATCCCAGAATCCCCTGCGGTACTTCACACCTACGCGTGAAGTAAGGGGGGACCGGAACCTCTCTCTCCTCATTGGAGGGGACCTGAGGTAGACCCCCCATGGAGCAGGCCAGGCTACAAAACTCCAAGACTTCCATTGCTCGACCTCTTTCCACGCGCTGACTTCTAGTGCTCGGAGACCCAAGCTCACCTCCTGTTTCTGCAACAATCGTCCTTTGTTTTAAGTTTTTTTGGCGCGCAGGTAATCCGTGGCCGGCAGTGTTCTAAATTCCGAGCTCGTATTGTCCAGTGAACGCATCTCAGTTTCTCGGAGAGCGTCAGACTATAACAGATTATCAGAACGATAACGGCCTTATTCGTCCTGCAACGAAAGGACATCAACAGACATCTTTCCACTCGACGGAGAACCAACGAAGCCGCTCTCGCCGTAAGGGACCCTCGCCGCCATCAGACGCCTCTGCACCAGGACGGACAGAAGATCTGTTTTATCGCTGGACTTTTTCCTTCACCAATCGCGGGCAAAGCGATTCACAAGTGAGGCTTAATTAGGTCTGGGCAGAATTAGCTTTAGAGAGTGTTTTTAACAATTGTTGATCGAAGCAGAAACTGTAATCTTTATCTTTGTTGGACCGCTGCGTCCTGAGTTTTAACTGTTTAAAACTCTTGTTGTTGTTTCGGACCGCTGTGTCCTATATGTGTTTAGTGTAACAGCGTTATAACCGGGTATTACCGTATTTTCCGCACTATAAGGCGCACTTACAAGCCTTTAATTTTCTCAAAAAACGACAGTGCGCCTTATAATCCGGAGCGCCTTATATATGGATCAGTTGGTTAATTGGTTGATCCATACTGGTTGTACACGGCGCTCAGCGACACTGACTCGGATAATGACGAGAGGGAGCCGGGCATGTTGGATGCCGTACTCACCCAACTGTTCAATTCGGACACTGAAGAAGAAGAATTCGAGGGATTCGTGGACGGGGAATGAACTGAAAAAGTGAGCTTTACGTGTTATACGTAACTGAACAATGTTGAGTTATGCACTAACGCAGGGGTGCCCAACCTTTTTGGAACTAAGATCTACTTTTAAAGTTACCAGTCTGCCGAGATCTACCAGTCCACATAGTGAGCCATAGCCTTTACCAACAGCCTACAAACGCATTTAATACTCACACAACAAACAGAAAATAATAAATGAGAGTTCTGTAAAAAATAATGCAGACTACAGACTACAGCAGGCTGCTGTGAGATGATTTTGCTTTTGTTAAATTAGCTGCAGACACGGTGAGAGTGAACGGAGTAAAGTCCAACCGACTGTTTGACCGGGTCACGTGTGTTCCCACCTCGGTCCGTACGGATCACGGATCAACTGTGTGCTGTAGCACTAAAAGTAAAAAGGTTCGCGTGGTGGCTGGCGCTCCAGTGCAAGTGTGTGCGTGTGCGTGTGTGTGTGCGCGCTGTTTGTTGGTGTGTCTCGTCCCTCGCGATGCTCAAAGTCATGACAGCAGAGAGGAGCAGAGAAAAGTAGCTGCAGCTTCATCAAATGCGCTTAATACTCGTAGCATAGTTTCTATATATGACTTTTTGGTAAAACATTTACCCCCCCGGTTTTACCTGCACGTCATTGCGCATGCCTGCACTCTCTCTTGCGCGCGCTCTCTCTCTCTCGCTCCCCGCTTGCTCTCTCGCTCGCTCTCTCATGCACGCAGCAATTTCATGAATAAATGAAAAATTAAATACACACAGGTCGGAAGTATACTTGGGCTCCCAACACAGGTATCGTGTGTGGGAAACAGTGCAATGAGATGAAATTGAAATCACTTTTCTATTTTACAATTGTATTTTATATTGACAAAACATCTCGCGATCGACTGAGAATCAGTCAGCGATCTACCTGTCGATCGCGATCGACTGTTTGGGCACCCCTGCACTAACGTTTGAATTAGCGGTATCAGACTGTGTTTCTTTTACGTGTTTACAACTGAACAAGGCTGGGAGATATTGTGAATATGCACATTAACGTTTGAACAACGTTGAGTTATTGTGAATGCACTACGTATAAAACTACGTTTTGAGAGTTAAGAGAAACGTCAAAGAAATAATTTATTATTTGGGGAAATCGTTTTGTTTTTGTAGTTTTATACGTTACGTTTTATACGTATTTATATTTATATATTCACAATATCTCCCAGCCTTGTTCAGTTGTAAACACGTTCTATTCTATGCGCCTTATAATCCGGTGCGCCCTATATATGAAAACAGTTCTAAAATAGGCCATTCATATCAAGTGAATGCGCCTTATAATCCGGTGCGCCTTATAGTGCGGAAAATACGGTTA